TCAGGCAAGACCTCCTAATACAATGGCCCAGGAGATCCAACATCCAGAACAGCTGAGACAATGCAGCCTCACAAACCACAAAGGCCAAGATTTGGTCATGGTTCTGGGTTTTCTCAGGATCCCCATGGGATTGACATCACCCCCCCAACACCAGGAAGAAGTTTGGAGAGAATAGCACCCAAATTCCAAAATACCGTTTATAAATGTTTGTTTGAATTTAAACAGGGTAGATTATAAATGGTTGATTATCACAATCAATACCTTTCTAGAAAAAGGGGATGGAAACATAATATAGAAATGAATACTTTGCAATGGTATAGATTTCTGTTTATTGACACAAGTTTAAGGTCAATTTTGTCATTTGTATATTTCTATTCCTATCTAGGTATTATGTGTGTGCTGCTCATTTGAAAATGTAATGTACAGATTATAAATAGTCGTCTTAATAGTCAAAACACAGTTATGTTAGTTTTTCTAGATATGCAGAGATATATTTCAGATGGATAGGTATTCTTCAAAACCTTTCAAAGACCTACAGAATATGGCATTTAAAATGGTTTGTTAACTTAGAGCTTTTTATGATAATGAGACACATCTACTCCTGGCAGCACCAATTACATCAGAGAGGATGATGGGTATCGAAGGAACTCATTATGGAGTTTGCATTCAATGTGGCAGGGATAGCCATTTGGACAAGAAAGTGCTTTTTCATGGACTGCTTAACTGTATGCTTTGTAAACTGGACACACAGGACCCACAGGAAAGTGACTGCTAAACTTCCAAGGGGCATCATGATCCTTCAAGGTTTCTGCTTCATTGAAAAAATCTGCCAGACACTCTGGGCCAATGGGCTGAAGATTGATGCCCCAACATAACAGAGGAATCGTGGGTGACTGTTCAGGCAGCAAGATGTCAATGTCAATTCTAGATTTTATATTATATCCTTCTGGGGTCTTTGATGGAGTTGAAGACAGATAATTACAATGGACACCTCATCAACATATCTCTTTCATTACTCTTCTGCAATGTACTACACCAACACACCTCCCAGACCCATCCTGTTCCCTCAAACTTGCATTCCTCCAACCCCCTCCTCCACCTCAAATGTACCCAGGAAATCTCTATGCATTTCTTATGCATCGCATCTTATTTAGCACTCCTTGTTATCTAGGCTCTCAAGAGCTGTGGATTGTAGGTTGCTTACCCTATAATTCATTCCCAATATCCATTTATGAATTAATAATATACCGTGTTTGTCTTTATGGGTATAAATTACCTCACTAAGAACGATTTTCTCTAGTTCCATCCATTTGCCTGGGAATTTCATGAGGTCATTGTAAATAAAGATTGAATTGGCATAAAAAGAGATGCATGGCTCAATGGAATGAAACTAAAGACACAGACATAAATCCACACAGTTATGAACACCTTATTTTTGGTGAAGAAGTCAAAATTACACAGTGGAAAACATCTTTAAGTAATGATGCTACCATAACTGGATGTTGACATGCAGAAGAATGCAAATAGATCCACATCTATTGCCATGCACAAAACTCAAGTCCAAGAGGATCAAAGAACTCAGCATAAATCCAGTTACACTGAACTTGGTGGAACAGAAATGGGAAGTAGCTTTGAACTCTTTGGCTCAGGAGACTACTTCCTGAGTATAACACCAGCATCAAATACACTTAGAGCAACAAGTAATAAATAGGACCTCCTAAAACTGAAAAGTGTAGGGAGAGATCTTACCAACCCATTGTGCTGACTGCGCCCATTTGGGCATGACCACAGGTACTTAGAAAGTATTGGAGCAGGGGGATAAAATTGCTGGGGGGAGGAGTAGCGCTTGCTTTGGGTTCCAGTTGAGTAGTAGAGAGTAGTGAGCAGACCTTTGGCTCTTGCCTTTTTTGTCTTCTCATGTAAGTAACTTCTCTCTCAATAAAATATCATAGGACATCCCTGAATGAGAAGGCCTGTGTATATGTCAATAAAGCACTGTTGGCCAATAGGGAAGCAAGATAGGTGGGATTAGGAGTTGAGGAGGATTCTGGAAAAGAGAGACACAGGCAGACATCATGTAGCTGTCATTGAAGTAAGAGGTCTGGACCGTTTCTCCAGTAAGAGAAATACTTAGATTGGATGAGATAAATACTTAAGTCGGAGATAGCCAGTAAGAAACAAGCAAAGGCCAACAGCTTCATAATTAATATAGCCTCCTGTGTGTTTATTTGGGACTGATGCAGCTCTGGAACCAGGCTGGCGGGAAGGTGGCACTCTACACATCCCTACTTTGTGTAGCTTAATATTTCCATGATAGAAAAGCTTCTATAAGGCAAAAATCAAGGTCAATAATACAAATCAGCTGCCTACAGAATGGGAAAAGATCTTCACCAATCCCACATCTGACAGAGGTCTGATCTCCAAAGTATATAAAGAACTCAAGAAATTAGAATCAAACTACCAAATAATTCAATTTTTTAAATATGGGGTACACATCTAAATAGGGAATTCTCAACAGAAGAATCTCAAATCACTGAAAGACTTGAAGGGAATTTCTCATCATTCTTAGTCATCAGGGAAATGCAAAACAAAGTGACTCTGAGATACCATCTCACACCTGCCAGGAAAAAAAAAGCTGACTACAGCATGTGTTGGAGAGGATGTGGTGCAATCAGAATACTCCTCCACTCCTGGTGGGAATGCAAATTGTACAGTCACTTTGGGAATCAGTTTGATGGTTTCTCAGAAAATTGGGGATCAATCTACCTCAAGACCTGGCTATGCCACTCTTGGGCAAATATCCAAATGTTACTCAACCATATCATAAGGACACAACTATGTTCATAGCAGCATTATTCAGAATAACCAGAAACTGAAAGCAACCTAGAAGCCCCTCAACCAAAGAATGGATAAAGAAAATGTGATACATTTAAATGATGGAGTATTACTCAGCTGTTAAATCCATTGTTTTTCTTAATCAGGAACCTAAGTCATAGTCTATACATCTCCTCAAAAAAAAAGCCATGTGTTCTAGCTGCATGACACTTCCTGGCTTTGCTTTATATCCTTTCCAGCCCCTGCTTTATCATGGGCAGTGGCAACACTTTATCTCACCTTTACCTATATTACCTTTTCCACCAAACTGAATGCTAACCTAACTCCTTACTATATTTATGAAAGACCCTCAACAAACAAAATCCCATTTAAACTAACATTATCGTTGATTAAAATCATTGCATCAGTTTAACAGTACAGCATAGGAGGAAATCATCTTTATCATAATCCACAGGTAAAAATGTCCCATAGAATGGGATATTTCCTTGAGATAAACACACTATATTACAGGCAATGGGGTAATCTCTTCACACCCATTCCCACCATGCCAGATAACAGAGAAAGATAGCAGCAACCAACATGCAAAGACACAACATTAGTTGAGGCTCTCAGGACCATGCCTTTCTGGGATTCATCCATTAAGAGTTTTGTTCCCTGGTGGGCCGGTCCCCCTGATCTCAATTGCCATCTGGTACTCCTCTGACTTGGCCACTGGCAATCCGCCATGAGTGAGGGGAAGGCACACACATCCAACTCTACATAAACACCCTTAAATGTCAATTACCTGTTTGACAAGTGCACAATAAAACCTTGGAAAACTCAAAGGGAAATGGGAATGAATCTACTTTTTTTTAAAAAAAACTTTTCATGTGATATATTAAAATAGAAGCAAGCCAGATTTACATTCTTTGTATTTTTTAGCCACACCTAAATCATCTTTTCTGATTTTTGCTACATCTGCTCTGTAATCATATGCCCAGCTGTGCTGGTCATTGGAATGGTGAAGTCTGCACTGATGGGACTTTTGCATGCTGTAGATATATATGCTTCTCTTACTGGCTGATGAATAAATCTGTTTCAGCCAGTGGATGGATGGGATGTATGTAGCCATGCAGTAAGAATAGGCAGGACTACCAGATCAGAAGAAGTCTGGGAAGAAGAATGCAGAGAGTGGGGTCTTAAAAGAGACTCCACATAACTATCGGGAAGGGAGGGTGCCAGGACACTCCTCAGTAAGCCAAGACCATGTGGAGATGCATAGATTGGTAGATATGGGTTAATAATTAAGAGAGAGCTAGGCAATAAGAAACCTGAACAATTGGACACAGAGTTTATAATTAATATAAGCCTCTATGGTAAAGGATGGTGGGATAATGCTGGACAGAAAGGTCCATTCACACAGCAATTTTCTGTCTCCAGTGGAACCCTGTAATCTACTTTTTTTGCACACATGAGGATTGTTTTTTTGTTGTTGTTTTGTTTGTTTTATTTTTGAGCAACTCTAATACTTTTTCTAAAGCTGTAAAACCCAAGTCTGGACACTGATGGTCAGGCTGGATGACATGCATCTCTAAGATCTCTTGTTTTCTTCTGATGATTTCATCCACACTGAAGATGCTCCTTTTGTCATAGGCTGAGACACTGAGGTCTAGTGCTTCGGACACCTCTGTTTCCTGCTGGTTATTTTATCCTCTCTATAGATGCTGCTGACTGTCATAGGCTGAGTTTCAGGCAAGGTAGCCACAGACATGCCCACATTGCTTGATTCTTCAAATGTGCTATCAGCTGCACGTTCACGGTTCTTAGGGTAGCCTATGTTCTCCACATGAATGTGCAACCTGAGGTAGGACTGTGGCTCACACTAACTGTCCCCAGAGGGTTCTTCTCCCACAATTCTTGTTATTTCTCAAGACTGTCAATTGTGCAAAAGAGGACATCTGTGAGTCTTGGAATTCTCATAAAAGCCACAGCCTTTATGACTCAGCTGGGGTGAGGGTCTGGCTGCTCTCCAGTGTCATGTTTTCCTGCTTGCATTGCCTTACTAGTTAAGTTAGCTTATGGCTCTACTCTATTGGACAGGCTGAGGCTTTAGGGAGGGCTAACCATTGTTCCGGGAATGAAAGGGTGGAGCCACAGGCTGCTCTGCTAATGCACCACTAGAGTCTTCTACAAATAGCTCTTAAGTAGCCCTGAGAGCACAGTCCTGGTTTCTGCCTTGAACAGAAGCTGCTGCACTCCAGGAGAGCAGAGACAAGCAAGGTACACAGACCCTCTATCCGCCTGACTCTTGCTCCATGAGCATCCTCACAGCTTTGTTCTGGTTACCTGGGGCTTCTCTTTTCTCTAGGTTTTGTTGACTTTGTTTTCTTGTTTCTTTGGTTTTGTTTTTAATGTTTTAAGAAAATAATAGAATTACATCATTGACTCCCCCACCTTTTGTTCCTCATACTATCAGAGATGCCCTTCCTGATTCTTTAAAACTTCTGGCATCAATTAAAAAATTGTTCATTACGTGTTTTGCTTTGAAGTAAGGGTTTGTTTGTAGGGAGGAAAGCAAACTCAGACTGAGTACAGCTGACCTGGATGGCCCTGCTGTTTCTCTCTCAAGGAAACACATCAGGTTCTTAGAGAGTCAGCTGGAATTTCAGAAAGCAAAGCTGAGGCTTCACTCACAGCCTCTGACACAGAATATCTACATAAGACAACCCACACGGGCTTCATAAACACGCTGACATTAGACTGTAGTCGCTGCGGGCTGTGCCCATGTTTCCCATACACCCTGCATTTTCTTCTGTCTGTGTGTTATCTGCCATGGAGGGCTTCGCATTAATTGAGGAGGATTTATGATGTTCATTCCTAGTGGCAATGTGTTGGAAGAAGGCTGAAGTGTCAGATTAAATAAATATTATATTTAGTATATGTACATTTATATGGGTACACACACAACAGTGGGGTGACCACTGTTATTGGACAATTCCTTGTTCCCTAGGTTTTTGATACCGTCTTACTCCTTGAGAATGGCCTCAGTTGCTCCATCACGTGATCCAAGTTTGGATGCTGAATGGGAGGAATGGAAGAGGAAATTTGAAAAAACCTACAGCCAGGTTGGTAACATGGGCACTGTCCAGAGGATTTCAGGGAGGATGTCCCTTGCTGTTAGGAGTCCGTTCACATAAATGTGGTCCCAGAGGCCAGCCACTACCGAGGACTGACTTAAGACATACACTATGAATTCAGGGAGACAAGCCCTGCAGACCCTCTAGGTGTGGAGTTTGCCTGGCTATAGTGACCTGAGATTTCCCCTCCATGCCTCCTCTTTACCTGTCACTACAATACTGTTGGTCAGCTCATGTGTGGAGTTAATATGAAGAAATTACTTTCTGTTGCACTCATCTCCAGGATGAAGAAGGATACAGAAGGGCACTGTGGGAGGCGAATAAGAAAAAAATTGACGAGCACAATGCGGAATATGAGCAGGGCAAGGTCAGCTACTCTATGGGCCTCAATCAATTTAGTGACATGGTGAGTGAGACATGGATTGTTAATTCTTTGTTACTTCACTCGAGATCTTTACACTTAGTCTCTTGCTTTATAATGTTTTGTTGTTGTTGTTGTTGTTTTTCTGTGAAGACAAACGAAGAATCAAATAAAATTTGCTGTGGAAGGATGAAGTATACAGAGGAGCCACCTAAATTTGAGAATTTAGAAGAGAACCGCTAAGTCACACTGGCGATGGATTAGGTATGACAACATCTCATCCCTGCCATTACCTGCACACAGGAAGACAGGAAGGAACTGAAGTACTCACTGACATCATCTTCAGAACAACTGGCAGTTCACTGTTTGATTAAGTGCTCTGATCTATGAAGTGTGGAGAGAGTTTATATCGGGTTGGGGATGACAACCTTCTCTCTTTGATTGGGGTATTGTAGTTTGGCATTACATATGGTGACCATGAAGGAAAAGGGCTCCAGGGAACATACTGTGACAAAGTTACTGTGCTGCAGTCTTTCTAATCCATGTGATATGTGCTTTTCTTCCAGCTGGGAAAAATGGGAGGTGCATGACTGGGAACAACAGGACAGCCTAGGAGTAACGCAATCACTCTTTCTTTGCCTCAGGAGCTTCTGTCCAAGATGTGAGCAGCATGGTGCTAAGGAGAATGGACTGGGGGAAAGAAGGAGCAGGAGAGGTCCTCTCCATCACTTTGTGGAATAAAAAGGTGAATTCACTGAATGCCAACACTGTGATGTGAATTATCAGTCATATTCTCACTAATAAATCACTACATTTTTTTACCACTGTGTCTTAAAATTAATGTTTTCTCCTGTCTGTTATTGTTTCAGTAAGATACTATGTCATTAAAACCTTCTGCTTGAGGTATGCATGATTGTGAGATGGTGTTTTAGAAGAAGGAGTACACAAATCTCTCATTATAGGGTCAGGTTCCCAACACTGGTTCAGCTGTTTCTGGGGGCTCACATGCCTAATTTCCACAATGATCTGAAAGTTGACAGGGAATTTCCTGGGATGCCAACTTGTTAAATCACATGAATTCACCAAGCATAATTGGTGACTGGAAAGGATTCAGTGCAGAGATGGCACCTTCTGTCCACTTTCCTAATCCTGTGCTATGAATCTCATTTCATATGAACTCATCAGTGCCCTGTAGTATCTGTGCTGTGACCACTTAGAGGCCATCTAAGGGAGGAGGTATAGCATCACAGAGGTGTAGGCTATGCTCAAGTGACTCTATAAGAACCCAGCATAGCCCACTCATGCAAAAAGGTAATGACTGTCTCTTGCATCAACTGCATTCAGCCTAACCTTAGAAGTCATCATAGTTTCAGGAGGGCTCAAATCTCCAAAATCCATTTTCTTCCCTCAAATTTAAGGAAGTCCAACAACTATGACTATCTGTGAAATTAACAGTAACAGAGCATCACAGACTTACAACACACAAATGAACGGAGTTAAATTTCATATCCAAAATGGAACTACGGGTCCATAGCAAGGCATAATAAGTTCTAAGCAAAACAATAACCAGCCAGAAAAAGCAGCATATTCTGAATTCCATGGCTGACAGAGACAAGCGAATGACTCAGATGTGGTCCCTGGAGAACTGACAGACTCTCTGAGGCTGGCTCTTGCCAAATGGTCAGCTTTAGCCTTCTTTGGTGGGTGTGCCATGACTCTGGTCTCAGCACCTCCACTGAAGTTAGACTTCACCTTCACAGTGCATGAGAGGCCTCTCAATGGCTGGCTGCAGAAGCTCTGAGCTAAGCAACATGTGCCTCACCCCAGAGTCTCTTGGAATCTGTGATTCACCAAATTTGGGGATTTTCATTCCTATATACCCAGTCGTTCACAAATTACACCACCTGGTTTTCAGACACCTTTGGGCAAAGCTTGCCACTTTGGTATCTTAAGTGCATTGCCTATTGAAGTGCTGACCATGCCCATTTGGGTGTGTTCACAATATGTAGAATGCATGGGGATACAAATGAGCTAGGGGAGGAGAAGCTTTCTCTTTGGGGTCCAGTTGCAGCCCAGAGAGCAGCGTGTGGATCTTTGGTACTTGGCTTTCTTGGCTTCTCACGAAAGCGATTTCTCCCTCAATGAAATATCATAGGATATTTTGTGTAGCTTAATATATCTGCATTAGCCTTCTGTGCAGGGATCCTGGGGACTCCATGAAGGTTCCACAATCAACCCACACTGACTTGACCATTGTTACAGGCATGCATTTGAGTCTGTAAGGGAGACACTGACATTTCCAGTGTCGTAAGTCTCTACAATGAACATTGCAAACACACATAGATAGTTACCAAGAAGGCAAAGCATTTACTAGGTGAAAATAGCCAAGTGTTTGTAGGGCATTTGAAGGCAGACTAGGGGTGTCCTGTCATGTATTTTCTGCTACCTCTCCTATACTAATGCCTGGGGTGCCCACAGTCACTCTGTTCCTGTTCAGTGTCTTCCTGCCTCATCACCATCAAAACACAAACCAGAGGCAGTGGGATGTAGCTCACATTCAAACAGTAGCAGTAATCAACAGCATCACAACTGTTACAGTTCCTCTCTGTGACTGAAGGTTATCCATCATGATTGCCCTCCTATATATATAGAACAGAAATGTCCCTTATATATGTACACTATATAACTGACGTATATGCACAGGTGTTTATGCTGACTTCCCAAAACTGTACATGAGTCAGTCCACCCTGCTTTCATCATGGCACCAGGTCCCTGTCAGAAAACCATGGCACAAATACATCCTCCAAAATGGAGATCACCCCCTACACCTTGGCCCCTGATACATTGCAAAATAGGCTGGACACCAGCTATTGCCCAGCCCTCTGTCCTACTGAAGGGTATTTAGTAACCTGTCTTTACTTTTACGGCCTAAGCATGAATTATTCATCCTCAACAAATCACATTCTTGGTCTCCTAAACTTATGACGGCTTTCTTCTATTTCAGTGTTCCGCTCCTCATTTAATGACACACCCATGCCACCCTGAGAAGACAAGACATATTTATATCCAGGTTTGACACATCATAATGCCCATACTGTTTGTCTTTAATACCATGGTTTCATTTGTTTAACATAGTAGTCTCCTTTTCCACGTGTTTCCTACCAATGTCATCAGGCCATTTTTCTTCACTTCTGAAGGAAAGTATATTGAGTAAATACACTGTGTTTTCTCTTTCCATTCATCATCTGGTGGGTGTCTATGCTGGTCCCATGTCTTAGCTGTTGTTAATGGTGCAGCACTAAACACAGGTTCATGAATGTCTCCGGTATGTTAAAATAGCCTCTCATGTCATGTTCAGCAGAGGTATAGCTGGATTTCAGTTTTAACTTTGTTTCTTGATAATCCTGCACATAGAATTGCCAGTGTCCAGAGTGGTCCTCACCCCTATTGGCAGGAGACTATGACTCTGCGTAAGCTTTCATTGCCTGATTCTCTAACTCTGGTGCAGAAACTCTGGGAGAAGTTTGAATTTGCATTTCCCTTGTTGATAAGGATATTGAGCTTCATTTTTAAGTGTAGACAAATGTAAATGCAGCTTTTAAATGGTCTATGTAGCAAAACCCCAGAGTCAGATACATAGGAAAATGCCAAGAGACCAGAGAAGAGTAAACCACAACCACACCTTACCTCCTTAGTATCTGAGCAGACAAGACATGAACTTCCTGTTTCTCCCTGCTTATATCCTGTTTCTGCGAAGCTATCTCACTTCCTGTCTGTCTGTACAAACCTCCAGACATCTATGGTTTCCTAGTGGCAAGCTCCATTCTCTGATCTCCTGGCAGGCTTTACTTGCACAAGCAAGATATCACTACAGACAAACCTTCCTAGGTAAATAGCTCATTTGCTATTTAAAGCTATATTTGTTTTTCAAGTTTTGAGATTATAAGAGAATTATACCATTTCCCTCTCCCATTTCCTTACTCCATGTATTTCCACATATCCACCCCTTCTCTATGCGTAACTCATGGTCCATTTTTTATTGTTTGTTATTACGTGTCAGTGTGTGTGTGTGTGTGTGTAGTTCTTTTATTTTTCTATCTGATATTTTTTACTTAAATTAGAAACAAGTATGTTTGACATTTCAATTTAAGGTCCCTCTTCCTCCCCTCCTCCCCTGACCCCACCAACACCCTATCCTATACATTTTCTGCTCCCTAGAGAGGGTGACGCTTTCCATGGGGTATTTTCAAAGTCTACCATATCATTTATAACAAGGTCTAGAACATCCCCCTGTGCCTAGACTGAGATGTTATACCTCTGTGTGATGTAGACTACCAAAATCAATTCATGTACTAGGGATAAATACTGATCTACATAGATTGCCCAAACCTCCAAACTGACTTCTGTGCTCAAGAGGTCTGGGTCACTCCAATGCTGTTTTCATAGCTAGCAGTCTGGAGTCCATGAGCTTCCCCTTACTCAGGTCAGCTGTTTCTGTGGGTTGCTCTGGCCTGGTCTTGACCTTTTTTCCCATCACTGCTCCCTCTCTGTAACTGGATTCCAGGAGGTCACCTCAGCTTTTCGCTGTGGGTGTCTGCTGCTCCTTCCACCAGATACTGGGTGAAGTCTCTAGGACGGCATATAAGGTAGTCATCAATCTCACTATTGGAGAAGGAAATTTAAGGTACCCTCTCTACTATTGCTTAGTCATACTTGTAGATCTCTGGACATTTCCCTAGTAATAGATTCCTCTTTACATCCATAATGGTTCCCTGTATTATGATCTCTCTCTCTCTCTCTCTCTCTCTCTCTCTCTCTCTCTCTCTCTCTCTCTCTCTCTCTCTCGCTATCCTCTACTATTCCCCTGACTCAATCTTCCTTCTCCTTCATATCCTCTTCTCCCCTTCTCTTCTTCCCTTCTCTGTCTCCTAAGCCCCTCTCTCTTTGCCCCATACTCCCAATTACCTCAGGAGATCTTGTCCCTTTCCTCTTCTCCCGGGAACTATTTTTGTCTCTTTTAGGGTCCTCCTTTTTTCTGGCAGTGTAGACTGTAGACATTTAACCCTTTGCTGTATGTCTAAAATCCATATGTGAGTGAGTACATATCATGTTTTTCTTCTGGAGACTGGATTGCCTCACTTGGGATGGTTTCTTCTAGTTCCATCTATTTGGAGGTGAATTCAATATTCAATTGGATTTTTTTGCTACTTAGTAGTACATTCTATAAATGTACATTTTCTTCATGCATTGTTCAGTTGAGGGACATCTAGGTTTTCCTTACAGGTTCTGGCTCTTACAAAAAATGTTTAACATCACTGAACATATTTCCTGGTTGTATGAATGTGCAACATTGGGGTGTATGTCTAAGAGTCAAATTGCTCAATCTTGTGGTAGACTGATTCTCATTTTCCTGAGGAAATTCCATACTGATTTTCAAACTGGCTGTACAAGTTTGCACCAGCAGTGGAGGAGTGATCCCCTTTCTCCACATCCTCTCAGGCATAAACTGTCATTGGTGATTTGATTTCAGTCATTCTGACAGGAGAAAGATGATATCTCAGAGTTGATTTGCCTGTTTCTCATGGGTAAGGACTTTAAAAATTATTTAAGTGTCTTTCAGCCATTTTAGATTCATCTATTGAGAATTCTCTGTGTAGTTCTGTACCCTCTTTTTAATTGGATCCTTTTGTTTTTTTGACACTCTCTACATGAATTCTTTGTTTATTTTGGAAATCATCCCTCTGTCAGGTGTGGGGTTAGTGAATATCTTTGCCCATTCTGTGGGCTGCTGTTTTGTCTTATTGACTGTATTCTTTGCATT